GAGGAGGAGCAGCAGCAGTTGGACACGACCGCCATCTGGCTAGTGCTGATGGAATGAGGGCACAAAGGGGGTGGGACAGCACCGGGCTATCTGCTACACGGAGGAACTCCAAACATGGCCTGAGCTCGCTCGGTCTCAAACCGGGCTCCCCTTGCATTCAAGAGACCGTGGTCTGTCCGCACCGGGGGAGGATCCAGAGAGAGGAACTAGAGAGCTTGGACTGAGGGGCATTGGCAGAGCTGTGTGTGGGAAGCCTGTAGCTGAAATAGCAGGGGGGCCGCAAGCCTGGACTGAGACGTTTGGCAGAACTACGCTGGGGTAGCAGGGAAGTCCTCCTACGCCCACTCTGCTCTGACACAGCCAGTCCTACCTGCTGTCAGAAAGCATCGCTTCGCTGCAGGTGCCCTTCCGGGTGAGCAGCCCTAGCCTCTCTGCATACCCAGCCCCTCACAGCCAGGGACACCTCTCACGTGTCGGATACCACTACTGCCAGCTGGTCACCTCTGAGACCTGACCAGCCTGCGGGAAACAGCGAGGCCTCCCCAGGCAGTGACCCGCCGAGGGTGCTCACAGCATGCTGGGGTGATGGCAACATGCAGTGCGGAGGGCCCCCAGCCTCCTCTGGCCCTTACCGTGTGTGCTGCTGCAGGTGGGAGAGCTGGCGGAAGGCCTTCTGGCAGTAGCTGCACGTGTAGGGCTTGGCCCCCGAGTGGATGCGAATGTGCTGGGCCAGGTAGGAGCTGTTGGCGAAGCTCTTGGAGCAGTGAGGACACTTGTGTGGCTTTGTCTCCGTGTGGGACTTGGAGTGGATCTGCATCTCCGACTTGGAGTAGAAGGTCAGCGAACACATCCGGCACCTGGGACCGGGGCGAGGGGAAGAGACAGTGTCACACGGGGGCAAGACCATGTAGCTATCAACTCTTAACTGGACAGGGACTGCCACAGAGTGAAGAAGGGACGTTTCCTCACTACGTGGCTCTGGGGAGGCTTCACCTGGGACACAGGGCTCGGCTGCGAGTACTCCAGTCCCAGGGGGACAAACTTATGGTAGAAGAGACCAATCAAGACCTTGCAGCCCAACAAGTAAAGGTCTTGAAAGAAGCAAAAGAGGTTAATTTATTAGGCTTAAAAGGGAGACAGGGCAACGCTTTGGAAACATTCCAACAGCAAACTTGAAGGGGACAGGAATGGTAATTCCCAGACAAAAAAACCCACTTGGTTCAGCTGTGATTTATTTCAGTCCAAACCAGGTTGAAAATCCTGGAAATCCCAGGTTAAGGCTCATCTTCATAATGAAAGTTAATTCTATGTTTGCAAAGTCAGCAAAAGCAGTTATGATCAAACCCACTTAACTCTGGTCCCATTTTTGGGGAAGACACTGGATTATTTAGAATACAAAATGCTGAAAATAACAGCAGTGCTGCCTTCCTAGTGGGTGTCTCAAAGATAATCCGGATATCAAATGTGGCATTTCACTGGTCTAATGGGCTTTCATAATATCTGCCTTACTGATGTGATGGAAATGTTTTGTCTAGAAGTTTGGACCCATCTGTTCCCTTAATGATCAGAAATATATTTGGTAACACACACGCTTTGAACAGAAAGAAGCAGTTGGCATTTATCTGCTATGGATGCTGCTGTTGAAGACTGTTCCTCCATCATCACACCAGGCTGTTAAGAGAAGCTTGCACTGTTATACAACTCAAGATGGTAAAAGCTTTTGTGGTTGATAATTTGGCAGAGAGACAGAGGCTGCATCCAAGTTACTGGATTTCTTCTATTTTTTTTTTAAATAAAATGTATGTCAACCAAGTGCCAGAGTTATGGTCTCTCTGAACTTAAGGTTTTCAATTTGCAGACTTTTCAATTAAACAAGCGAAAAATCAACCTGCATTTGGAACTTCCAGGGTCACACCTGATAGAAAAAATGCCATCCAGAAGTCTGGTTAACATGATTTCAACCTTCACAGCAGGTTCACATATGTTTTTGTCTGGGAATTTCCTCAAGTTTTACAAGTGTTTACAAAACTGCTCAGTAACAAAAGTCTCTGTAGGTATTACAAGCAACACTGAGTTGCTCCTGGTCTTCCCCCTATTCATCTCCTCCCAGGAGGGTACTTCATTACACCTACTATTGTGACTGTTGAGGTTGGAGCCAGAAGCTTTATGAGGTGTGCAGTCTGATCTGCGTGTGTAACACAGGCAATATTTATCCAGCACCTACCTTAACTTCCACAGGCCCTTCCAAGCCACAGCTTGATTTAAGCCATTTAACTGGAAGCCATGCATCCCTAGCAAGCACTCTACCACACACCTGCCATAACATTCTTCCTCTCCATCATTGTTCTTTTACATTTACTATCATCTCCAACAGCTGTCCCTATGCTTCCTACCTTCAGCTTTCTCTTAATCCACTTTAATTGCCAACCCTAAAAGAACACACAAGCTAAACAAACACATCCTTAGATAATACCTCCCTCACACACACAACAATCCCTTCTGGAATCAACAAACAAAAGGTATTTGGCTGCTTACCCCTAGCTCTTCTAGAGGTATAAGGAAAAAAGAGGAACATCAGATCAATCTTTTAAAAGAAATAGCTCTTGGTTTATAAGCCAAACTATCTCCAAACACAGGTGCAGCTTGTTCAGACTTCTGAAATGTTTAAAGCCACACCTAAATAAAGTACATGCATTTTGCAGTTATCAAGTCGTACTTACAAAATAAGGCTTGTCTCCTTGAAAGCAGCAATGCTAGAAAGAACTTTGAGGTGGATACTGAACTGAAAAATACCTCTGAGTTGCCAACTCTAGTTCCCTGCTAATGCAAGCAATCATACCATAATCCCATGACTTCTATCAAGCTCCTTCTCAGCAGATGCTTACTTCCATTACTTTCAGTTTCATTCTGTTCCACAATATCAGATGAGGAACCACTCCACTAAGAACAAGCTCAATGAATTGCTAATATGGCTAACCAAAACAAAGGGGAATAGTAGGTACCATCTTTGTAAACTGGAACAGTGCAACTACTCTTACAACAGCACATCTCATCCTGAAGCCCACGTAGCCAACAATTATGGAAAAACTCATCCAAGTTCAGCAAACTTCAAGAACAATGGCAGGTGGAAAATCAACTTCGCAGCAAATATTCACTAAGCCCAGTCTGTCTAGGTTTGGAGAAAAGCTTAAAAGATAGCTTGGTCAATACCCACATCAATCTATGTGGGGAGAAAAAAATATCAATTACTAGGGACTTGGTTTATGAGCCAAGAGAGGTGTAATGAGAAACAATAACGGACAGTAAAGTGAAAAAAACCAAGAGGAAATAGGATCTTTCCAACCATGAGAATAATGCATCTTTGGAACACTCAGAGGCTATAGTATGGTCTCAATTACTTGGCCTCTAGAATCAATATTTTGAGAATCCAGCTACATTTCTGAGAGTAATACCTTTCTAAAAGTTTTGCTGTAGCTGAAATGCAATGCTGGGCAGTAATCTCTCCTGTGCTGTGCACACGACTATATTGTAAGCAGTCTATTCTGTTCTGAAAATTTCATGAACTTTATTATGTCATCAAGTCTAAGTAATCCCATGCATTAAATCTGTAGTGCCATAAAGCCATCTACTTTATTTTCCACAACTTCTGTGCATCCTTTCCTTATTGGGTTTGTCAGGTAGCTGCCTTCAGGTCAGAAATTCCCTAGAACAAACTTTAAAGAAGAGAATCAAGAGTGAATTTCCTTTTTCATTTTCAAAATAAAATGATAAAGAAGGTATTTCAAAACCTCCCTGGCACTTGCATAAAAAAGGAAGAGAAATCTGACTGTTAGCAAAAAACACCTTCCCCCTCCCCCACCAACCCAAACCCTTCGGCTGAATTTAGCAGCTACGGACATTCCAACAATGTTTTTCAAACATTTAAAAAGAAGGTCTTGCAAGGACTCATTTTCCAATCATGTCATTAGCATCAGCCCTGAGAGGGCAAGGATGTTATGTAGCATTAACAAACTGATGAGCCTTTTGAGTTTAAAAAAGCCCCGGAACATAGCAGGAAGATGCATTTCAGAGAGTTTTTTATTGTGTGGTCTATCAGGCATTTTCAAGGGAACAAACGATCCATTTAATTAAGGGCTTTGCATTCTGCCTCAGAAAACATCAAATAATAAAAGGGAAGATGCAATCAGCCCTCTAGTGGGCAAATATGGATTAAAAAAAAAAGTGAAAACTATGGATAATGAGAACATTGTATTTGACACCAGCAGAGTTTCAGTATTCCCAAGTTAAATTCTCCTGGCTGGGGAGAGGTAAAGATGGGAGTGCTCCTTGCTAAGCATGAACAAAATGCTATATAAATAATTGATTTTTTTCCCCTCTGTTTATAATCTTTTCTCCCCACTGTGATTCTAAACTACCATTCCTTTCACTGTATCCTTTCTGAAAGCAAGTAACAGAAATGACTGCAGCATTCCCATTGACAGTGTGACATATCCCTACAGCTGCTTGTTACAGCTCTGCAAATTCAGACTGCCTAGAAGAACATATTCTTAGTAACAGAGGTGCATGTCTCCATATAAAGAGTTAATTTAGTACCTAGCCATATGCCAGAGATCAAAAGTAACCCTT